TGAAATATAAATTATAATTTTAAATAAATCAAACAATTTAATTTACTTTATATTTGAAGATCAAGTGTACCGTCTAACAACGTGATATGATCCTTCAAATATTATGAAAGTCACAAGTAGTTTAACTTAACCTTTTAGTGACCGGTTTCTCGGTATAATTATTATACATTCATCAATAATGTTTCGATTTAAACATTTTAGCATGAAATGTATCTGCTATGTTAAATTATATTTGTTCATAATATTATAGTTATTGATCATTGGAATAAGATTTGAAATTCTTTTCAAATCTTATTCCACCTCGCGTAAGAATTTAAAAATCAATATTATTTGAGAACATGTGAAATATTTTTTTCTAATTCATCTAAGATGATGAATCATCTCTTAATCACTCAAATATATTCATATAGTTTATGTAATATCCAATGTCTGTCCATTTCTTACATTTACCAAGATAACATGTACCATGATTAAAACATAACACTCCTTATAAAAAATAACTTAATAGTTTTAAGTTTAATGATTACTTATATAATTGTTGCATGAGTCTTTCCATAGATATAAGTGATATTTTCATATGAAATTTTTATGCAAGTCAGTTCAATACACATGTTTTATGATAAGCACTTATATATTAGTTTTAGGTATCTCTTACACCTAAACTTAAAAGAACAATTGTTTACTTTCATAAAAATATATGTGCCAATTTTTACAGCTCTAACGAATGTCCAATATGTAAGAGAGTATCAACAAAAAACATTTTAAGAATAATGATTTGATGGAATAGAAATCTCATAATTATAATAACTTTATAATTTTCTTTGCAAAATAATTTTATCCAATGAACTTTATCTATATTCTAGATTCACAAATCAAATATTAGTTTCACTAATATAATATTATATGACTATAAAATTTAAATTTAAATTTAAATTTTATTAATAATAAATATATATTTATATTAATATAATAATATAACAAATAATCAACTCATTAACTACGTGATATATTAATTTAACAATCTTCCACTTACACTAAAATCAATTGATCATATATCTAATACGATATTGTTTCATGTAACATTAATACTTCAGTATAGATAATGACTTAGTAAGAGAATCTTCTAAATTCTCTTTGATGGATAATCGCTTTATCTTTAAATCTTTTATTTCATTGATTTATAAAATTAAATAGAAGTATTTAAATATTTGTTTGGATCATTGATGAGATCTTGATTCATTTGCTTATACTTCATTATTATCACGATACAACTGGATTAACAATGCTAACAACATAGTTTATTAATGAACTTGTTGATTCAAACAACTTCTTTGTTTTCTCAAACATAGAGGTATATTTTTATTTAGTTGTAGAATCAGTTGTGCTTTCTTGTTCGAAACTTTTTCAACTCAAAGCACTGTCATTTAAAATAAAACATGTATTGACTGATATTTATTATTTTTTTAATATTTCATTGAAAAAATCTTAATTCAAACTATTTTTAACTTCTAGTTTATCTTCTCTATTGATATATCTTACAGCTAAGTATAGAATACAAATTTCATTATATTTCTTCTAATTTGTGTTTTAGAACACATGATTTTGAAGGGAGGTCTTCTGTACAAAATATATAAGAATTGAATCTTAAATTTTTTCATGTTAAGCTATTTTAGTATCTAGTTTATATATATGAATTGAGACAATCTAAGCAATTTTTTATATCTAATTTTATCATTTTTAATATTTAGTGTATTGGGTGTTTCTTCCCATTAATTCATGGGAAAATGGTATAATTTTTTTCTAAAAAGAAAACTTTAATTAAAGGGAAAGAAAAAAAATTAAAACCTTTAAATTTTATTAAATAGTTCATTTGTCTTCGTATTGTAAATGTTACATGAAGACGTAAAAGCTAAAAAAACAAAGGAAATGTCTTCGTTATCCCATATTTAGACCCATTAAATTATTTTTGAAGCTTATGATAGCACAATTTCAAATTATTCATCATTTGAAAACTCGTTATTTTACAATTGAAAATATAAATAAAAATAAAAATATAATGTAGTCTTAAATTAAGGTCTCTAATATAAGCTTGCAAATAGTTTAATAAATCTTGATTCAAAGTTTTTTATTTAAAACTTTTCTCACTATTTCCCTATCCAAATCTTATTATTATAAGTTCGTTTTATTCACACATGAAACACTTATTACTTTTTATTATTTTTGCATATGAAAAGATATAATTGACAAGCACGTGAGCTGCTGTAACATGACAATCATGCCATCAGTCCACCAATCAGTTCAAGAGGGATTTTTTTTTTTTTTAGATTGAAATCGAGGTTTGCATTTATCAACATGTTATAGAGTTCAATTTTATAATATCATTTGAGATTGAAATCGTGATTCCATCATTATTATATGTACCACAATGATCCTATAATTAAATTCCATTAATTATTATTATATGCATCACTTATAAAAAAATAATTTAAATTATATCTTTATATCTTATTATTAAATTTTTAATTAAATTGAAAAAGTTTTTAATATAGTATCAAAGTTTTATTAACCAAAAAATCATAAGTTTAAATTTTATCATCCTCATTCTATTTAATAAAAATTAAATATAAAATAATATAAGTTTATATAAGTTTTAAAAATAAAAAACTTTTTCTTAAAAAAATATATCAAATAATAATATAAATTATATTTCAAAATCTTATTTAATAATTTAATTACTTAAATTGAGGTGATTTTTTTAACATTATTAAACCTAGATTTTTCACAAAATTACCATCTCATTATGTAATGGGATGATCTCATTTTCGTAATGTTTTTTATTCAACTAAAAGATTGGAAAAGAAGACATTATTGATTATTACATCTAATAAAAGTTTTATTTATTTATTATAGATATTCTTTCTTAAAATATTGTTATTTTGCCCGATATGTTTTTAAAAAAAAACTATGCTAATAAGCAAAAAATAGCCTCTCTTTTTTCTTGTGTGGATCATAACTAGGATATTTATTCGGAACAGCATCGTAGGTACATAATAATCTGGATACGAAATTAATTTAATTCTACAAAAAAGTGTATCTATAATAAGCTTAATAATAATAATAATAATAATAATAATAATAATAATAATAAAAGGATTGCTTTGTTTTGCATAAAAATTTCAAAAGGTTGCGATTTTCATATACATATGAGTTGTTATAATGTAATTCATTTTTTAATTTAATTTTGATCCAAAATCCCAATATAAAAAGGTTTTGGATTGCTTTTGCACTAGAAGCTATTGATTGAAATATTTTTTTTTCTGAAAATAAAAGTGTTATTAAAAATAAATAAAAAAGAAAGAATTATAAAGAAATAGCAAAAACTCCTACCATATGCATATATGTAAAATATTTTATATTTTCAACACAGTCAATTTAATTGTTTCATTGATTGAATTGAGAAACGACCTAATTGAATGATAATATTAAATTCAAGGCTTGCAATGTGAGTTTTCAAATAGTTTAATAAATTTTTATTGAATTTTTTATTTATTTAGAACCTCTCTCTGTTTCTCTATCTAAATTTTATTAATAGTTTTTCTTCACACACGAAACACTCATTTTTTTATATATATATATAAAAAATAAAATCGATAAGCACTTGAGTTGTTATAAGATCACAATCATATCATAAAACTATTAGAAAAAAAATATTTTTCTCAATTCTTAATAATTTATTGGTGAAAGATCAAGATAAGTCAACAAGACTTTAATTTCTTAGGAGCACAATGGCTCGGAAAACAAATATTTATGAGGTGTTAATTTTATTTTGTGTTGGCGTGCTGTTCAACAATTATTCTAGAGTTGATAAAAGTTATTTCACCAATTTAAATATTATATAAATATTTTCTTAACAAAAAAGAATATCCTCCTTTAATTCAAAAACTTGGAATTTAATTATTATTTTTCTTTCCAGTCTTAATTTCCCTTGTAATTTGAAGTTTTAGAACTTTTGGTCTCCAAATTATATTTTATTTATGAAATACATTTTAGTTTAATTTATTCCACACTTTAGAAGTCATGCCTGTGCTTTTGATATACAATCTTTTTTCCCTTTAATTTTATGAATAAACTAAATTAACCCTCATTTTGAATACTTTTAAATTAAAATTAAGGCATCATAAGAGCACATATTATGAAAAAAAGGAAAGAAAAACTAAAATTTCAAGCCAATATATATAATGTTTCCTAACATAGGTTATCTATGATAAATCTTTTTTTTTTCCGTAAGTAAGAATTATAAAATCCATGATCAATCTTCGCAACAATATTTAATAATTAGATAACTTTTCATATAGCATAGAAATGCAGCTATGTATATCGCATGTAATATAAAATATAAAATTTCATTAACACTTAGATTACAATTAAAATGATTGGTTCATATTACAAAATATTTTCTAGGTGTAAGCTTGTATATGCAGACGAAATGGAAAATAAAACATTGATTTAAAATCATAACATTTGGTTTTTATTTGATATATTATTTAAAAAAAAGGACCCATTTGGTCATTTATTGAAATTATAAAATAGGAAAGAAGAAAAAGACCGTAGCACTGTTCACTAGCCATGCTTCTAAATAAATTTTACAAAATAAAAAATTATTATTTTAATATATTTTAAAACAAAAAATATTTTAAAAAATAATATAGAACACATGCTCTAGCGCTCGATGCTTCATTCCATATTTATGTTGATTAGGAATTCAGAATCTAGAGACGGACTTATCCAGCAGAACACTTAAATAGAACAGTAACACCTTCATTAGAGCCGCTCAATGCCACACAGAGAGCGTTTCCCCAACTAAGTCTAACCCTCGAACTTCAAGTCATCAAACCTGGGGCGGAGGCGGGGGATTTCTAAGGTGTCGAACCTTTCCAAATGAAGAGGAAGAAGAAGAGGAATTCGTTTGCCTGACATGACAAGAGGAGAATGTAAAACCAAAAAAGAACACGTCTGGTAGATTAAAACAAAAATAATATAGAAATAGCAGAGTTTAGTTTTCCAAACAGCAGTGTTCATACTGTACTCTCCATGGGTATGAGGAAAATGCAACAGCCTAATAACAGGAGAAATACAGGCCACAAGCACAGAAGATAAACTTGCAAATACATAACACTCGTATTTGTAACATGACAACATATCTAGTCGTAATGTCCATATTCAATACAAAACACAGCACTACTACTTCTCAGCCCCTAGTTATGAAATGGGGATAGGTGAGGAAATACTACTGCTCCTTGTATCTCTTCTCTACTTCCTCCAAGCTCTGAATCTCCTTGTGAAATTTGCATACACGATAAACACACCTGCAGGCACATATAAGTATATAATGGCACGTGGCAGAATTGCAAATAAATAAATCAAGCATTTTCAAAAGCTTCCAAACCAGACATATACCAGTAGAGAAGGCATGCTGAAATGCAAAGAATGACATTCCTTTGAGATTTGTAGATCTGCACAGCAGACTTCAACGGTAAGTTTGTGTAGATTCTAATGATAATAAACAATAGCAGTTTACAACTTTAATTCAAATACATTCTTCTAACATATAGCCTCATGAGATGCATTTCCCTGCTTGAACAGGTAGTTTTCAGACTATGCAACGTAATATACCTCCTAGTGCTTAATCTATCAATCTAAGTAAATTTATGAGACATGGTTCTAGTCAGGGAGGGGGGATAGCGTTTGTTTACTCCTTCCATTTCAAATCATCAATCTTCATACTAGAAATGTCAGCTTCAAGTGATTTTCGACAGTTAAAAGGGGGGACATCTCCATGCACAACAAACATTACAACAGCTGTAAAAAATTATATGATTTGTTCTTATACATTTGTTCATGTCTAACAGAAATAATGGAAATAACTACTGGCATATTCTTTTGAAAAATAATTACGGGGTATAAACCTTGAGTTTTTTTTTTATATTTAATTTAGCACTCCACCAGAAATTCAAAAATTAGGTATATGCCACTACTCAGAGAGGTGATGCATGTTGTATGCATGTTGTGTGCATGTTTTACAGGAACCGGCTAGCGTGTGCATTACTTGCTATGCTTACATGGAATTGATAACTTGCTAAAATATTGGAGCATGCAACAGAAGTTCATATGTTATTGTGGAACTGAAAATCCAGCATCTACAGAACGGAATCTACTGGAAATGGAATACTTATCATTGTGTAAGGAGCTAGTTGTTATTAATGGAGTCATTTCTTCTTAAACTAACTGCATCGACAACAATACTCATGCAGAATCTAGCTTCTTGTTATGTGCTAATGCAAACTAAGTAAAACTGCAATAACTGTAACCCTGCTCCTCAGCCCCCGACACACATCCAAGGAGTCCTGAATAAGAGAGATTACTGGCTCAATTCTGCCCTTCCAGATCCAGTGGCATCTACCAACTGCAGGCATATTCCCAGGGAATAACTCTTTTTTGCATTCAATGTTTCACATTAGCACCTCACCTCTTCAATTTCCCACCTTTCCAACAGGTTAATGACAATCATGCTGTTTGGACATTCATGATGCTACAAGTAATAATCTAAATTCAAGCAACCGCTTTACATATACAAACGACAAACAACTAAACCACTTTTTATCCCAATAACACCTTTTCTTCTGTTTTGATAATTTCGTGTCTTTTAATAACTCAGTTAACTGCTCAAGCGAGGTTACAATGAAATATCAGCGAATGACCGTAAGAAAATAAGCAAGAACCCAATGGGGTAAACTTGCATATACACAAAACTTCAGAGGCAATAACAAGATTCATGAATAGCATCCAACAACGCTTCAAGAACGCAATAAGCAAAACAAAATGGCACCCCAACATTTCATAACCATAACATAAAACATTACATCCCTGGCCACCAAATATCCCATCAGATTCTTAGCAAGTTGCCACCCCTTTAAGATTACAAAACAAATCATGACAGCCTCATTAATTATAAATATAAAGAGAATAAAAATCTAATTTTTCAGGACCCTAATCCCAATTTCCATTAATTTATTTAATTTCGTTGAAGGCATCCAACGTTTCTTTGATAACGCTTAGTAATAATTAAAAATCGCCAAAAACCAATAACACATCTCTTATACAGAGCAAAAAAGAAGAAAAGAAGAAGAACAAATCAGCAAATCAGATGAAATCAACATACAGATTTCTCATAACGATCTCTTTCAGCAGCAGTGCAGGTCTCACCAGTGCACATCAATCGATGCTCCATTTTCCAATATATATCTGTTCACAAGATGAAAATCAAACCCAGAATTTCTAAAGCCCAAAAGAGAAGAAAAGGAGTACACATAAAAGAAGAGAAAAACAAACCCAGGAGCTGGAACCCGGCAAAAGGGACAATAAAGAGAGCCGGCTGGAGAAGGAGAGAGATGAGAGAAACCAATCGGTCCTTCAATAGCTTTGGCGACGGTAGCGTTAGGAGTACCGCAATTACTGCCTCTGCTGCCACTAGGTATGTCAGTATCATCCACTGCAACGCCATTTTCTTTTGTCTTCGATTTTCTTTCCAAGGACTGCTTGTTCTGTTTTTTATCTGATTTTGCTTAACAACCAAGTTTTTTGGTTTTCTTCCTTCCTTTCTTTCTTTTTCCAATGTCTTTTGTGATTTGCATTTTGGGCCGTTGGATTGCGATGAGAGAGCCAGAGGTGCCAAGTGGGGAGCAAGAGTTTTTTTATTACTTCACAATTTATAAATAGCAATAATTTAGGAATAATGGATGGATTGTTTGGTGACAATAAATGAAAATAATAGAATTTGAAAAAAAAAATATTTTTATTTTATATGTATTTAGTTAAAATAGAATAAAGTAAAAATCAGAATGGATTATAGAAATGAAAATAAACGTTGGATATGGTTTCATTTTTATGAAGGTAGATAGTATTAAAAATCAGAATGAGAATTAGATTTCCCTTCTTCCTTTTTTTTTTAATTATCTTCACCTATATATTTATAATCATCAACCACGATAATAATGATATTGTTTAAATATAATAATAATAATATAAAAAAATTAAAATGAGAATTAAATTTTCCTTTTTTTTAATTATCTTCATTATTATTGTCACATCATCATCAACCATGATAATATTACTACTAATAATAATAATATAATTTTTTTATCCAACTACAAATAACTTGCTACATAGTTTATTATATACTAACCATGTGACTCAATAAAAAATATTAAGAAAAAAATGATGTTCAATTGACAAAAAAAAATAATGTTAAATAATAAAAAGAAAAAAAAATGATGCAAGTCATTATTAACCCATTAAACCTGTGATTTGAGTCATTGACTCGAAGCAATAGAATTTTTTTAAAAAACCTTAAAACCTAATTTTTAACTAATCAAATATATATTAAATTATAAAACTAAAAAAAACATACAAAAAAGATAAGAAAATAACAATTGTAAAAAAAAAAAGCTTACACCCTTCTAAGCTGACACGTTAAACCCATGGATCAGATTATAAAATCGAGATAGTTTGATAGAAAAGATAATGAAAAAAATCATGAAATTTAATTTTTTAAAATACCAATGTTAAATTATGAGATGGAATAAAAAAAACATGTCAAAGAAAAAACTAATGCCAACCCTTTCTAGCCTATTAAACTTGTGTCTCGAGCCATAATTCGATCAGAAGCACCAAATATAGAAAAGTCATGAAATTTAATTTTTAACAAATTAATATTAAAAAATAATTTTTTTTTAAATCACACATATTATAAAAAAGGCAATAATTTAAAACAAAAAAAATATGAGCTCACCTAGGTTAACTTGTCAAACCTATAATCCAGGTCATGAGATTGAGATAACACTATAAAAAAAAAACAAAGAAAACTATGAAGCATATTTTAAAAAAAAAAAACTTCGAGTAATGAGATAAAAAAATTGATATGAACTCATGTTAACTTATAAAACTAGTGACCCAGGCCAATTAATTGGAAGTATCGAACATGAAAAAATGACAAATCACAAATTTCAATAAACCAACAATCAAAAATTAAAATTGAAAAAAAATCATAAAAAATAAAAGAAAAAAATAACAATTAAAAGAATGAGGATCAATTTTTTTAAAAAAAAAAATAGAGGATGAATAATTTTGGATTGAATGGCTAAATTGAAAAGAAAAATCAATTTCACCAAATAATTAAACAAGAAACCACCAAGAAAATAAGGAACATATTTAAGAAAAAAAAGTAAAAATTTTAATTAAATGATGAAATTAAAAACAATTCAAAATTTACAAAAGATATAAGAAAAAAATGAAGAAAAACAAAATCAATACCAAATTTGAAAAACAAAAATGAAAACATTGAGATTGAAGGAAGCAATCGAAAAAAAATAAAAATTTACAAAATGACCACATATAAATTTAAAAAATCAAAAAAATAAAGATTGATCCTTAAATATTTCAAACTAAAGTATCTGTTTTGAAATTTTAAATGTCAAACATGAATTTTAAAGGAAAAAAAAAAAGAAAAAAGAATATGACCTCCATGACAATCCGTCCAGCACAACTCAAGACGAGCCACTTGTGGAGGAAGAGGACATGGTGGAAAATCGACTAACACGACGGAAAGAAATTTGCCACCACCAGATAACTTTTCATGTGTTGCTGAAGCCTTGCTACTCCTTACACTTGCTTTCATGTGTGTGACCTAACATATTTAAATTTTTAATATTTTTAATTAATGTAAAAGACTAATCAACCCTTCCACATGTCTTATATGAAAATATAAAAATGCCCCTAAAGAAGCTTTTATTAATTTTGACATCGAGGATAATTTAATAAATTTTCTATATGAAAAATGTGAAATTTTAAAAGAAAATCCTAACAAGCAATTATATGATTTTGTTTTTCCTTTCAAGGGCAACGGAGGTATTTCATTGTTTAAAAAAACTTGAAAGGACCTTTATATCCCATTGAAAATGAAAATGATAAATAAATCACATAAAAGAGATCATTTTATCCCTGAGCTTTGTCTTTCTAGTTGATTTGTTGGAGAAAAATCATCAATCAACTGTTATAATTCATGATAAACTCTATGTTGTGTTATAATATTTTTCTCACATACTATAGGTCTAATATTCTTTTAAATATAGTTTTTAAACCGAAACAAGTTAAGCGGATCAATTTGATAGCTGGATCCGGTGACTTGTGACTCAAGCGACTTAGTAGAGACTCATTTTGTATTTCAAATATATATTTTTTCTTAACCAAAGGCCTCTATTTTTTATATATTTTTAATTTATTTTTTTTAAAATTTATTATATAAATACTAGAATAGTATTTTATTTTTTCAATATAGGATTTAAAGCTTTTTAGATATATTCTATGTTTACAAAAAAAAATTATGTTTTTTTAATATAAGATAAAAAAAACCTTTTTAATTTTAATACTTTAACTTAAAAGGATAACATGGTATCTTTTCAATATGGAATAAAATTTTTTTTTAAATAATCTTTTAAATTTTATTATTTACACAATATAGCTTATATTCTCATAAATTATTTTTTAATTTTTTTATATAAAATATTAAAATTTTATATATTTTTTTAATTTTTTCATATTAATTTGAGTCTATCCATGTAAATATAAGACCCAACTCCTTGTTGAAATCAATCCCCAAATCAAATGTAATAACTATTCTTTTAAGTGAATCATACTCTTTATATGTGCTGATAATGTCAGCCCATTGAATTATACTCCGCATAAGTAGCGAAGATATTCCGGGGAATGTACTTACATTGTTGACAAATTTGGAATGTAGATGTTTAGAAAGATGCAAGGAGCTCTGAAAAAATTAGCTAGTCAAATGGGTTCGTTGCGAAAAAAATAAAATAAATTCAAATGGCAGTCACTCTATCCTGGCATACCAATAATTATATATAAAAAAAATAGGCATTTTTTTAAATGCATTAATTTGCTACAATTGAAAGTATTCGAATCTTAACACCTTTATTTATTTATTTATTTTACTTTCATGAAACAAATTACAAAACATCGATCGCCGACTGACAAATAGAAGGATGATTATGACTCATTAAGCGACAAGCTTATTAATTAATGCCAAAATCAAAAGTAGTGCTAGAACATGAAAAACACAAACTAAACAAAAAGAAGATGGCTTCAGGAATTGATAACGCCGCACTTCTTTCTGATCTCCCCTGAGTTGCCCGTAAGAACCCCAATTGCTCCCATTCTTTTCATTGACTGGGAGAATTCTTTGAGAAAATCAGTTGATTTAAGCAACTCTCCAACAATTTTGTTCGATTGTTTGTCTGTTAGAAGGGCTGCATCAGATTGGAAGAGACCCTTTTGCTGTTTAAGGATAACAAAGTAAGAAGAATCGAAATTCTGAGAGCTGCCAGGGTCCATCTCTACTGTGGTGGTTGTGTCGCTAAGACTTTGGCATTTGGTCTTTAAGAAAGCAGCGTATGTTGAGTTCAAAGAAGGATCCTGGTCTCCTTTTCCTGTGAAGTTGTAGAGACGGTTGCTGAACAGGTTGCAGTGGCCATCACCAATGGTATGTGCCCCTACATACAGTATGATTCAGAAGTGATAAGAGTTTCTGCTCAATTATATGACCCTTGAGAAGTATGTGCCATTACTTTCTTTAGTATAATATAAATGCATGTATACCTGATAGTACAATGAGATCATGAAGAGTTAGACCCTTGTTCTTGAAACTTTGAACGAGGCTGGAAAAGTTTAAGAATGGAGAGGGAATGTTTGCCAGGGCCTCCGAAGCTACTGACACCTTACCATCTCTTCTACCAGTAAGCACTTTCCACATTGGTTTTTTGAACTGCAGGAAGAATCGTATATGTTCGCTATGATTACATGCATGATCATTTGAGTTGAGATAATTAAGAATGTTTATTGCGATAATATTTACCTGGACTGAGACAGCATCCCTGGTAGCCAAGGCCAAAATGTCAGCACAGGATACTTTTCCTGCACATTTGTTCTCTAGCTCCGTTTTGATCTCATCAATGACATCGAAGCCTGCCAAAGATAGATTTGGAATTGCATCCTTCTCCGCTGTGCTATTCGCTGTCGAGTTTATTAAAACGGAGGCATCGCAACCCTGCAGGAATTTAATTCCGAATTAGCTAGATATCTGCATCAGAATTACAAAATGTGGCGATACTACATGGTGTTTTTCTTTTATTTTCAAGCATACAATGTCCACGCATGGAAAAGGCTACAGATACAATTTTTCTAGCAGCAGAATGAATATTTAAGCATTGCTTACCCTTACGAAGCAGTCATGAAAATGCATTCTCAGTAACTTTGCAGGTAAGTTGGGGTTGCTTGCAACATGTCTTTCAGTAATATTTTTGACGGTGCCCTCAGCTGCAGGGCAAGAGATCCTGTAGAAGTTCTTCCTCAAATCGCCAGCCTGACAAACCCCAACAACTGTCAAGACTGCTACACATGCAAAAATAAAAGCAGTCTTCATATTAATCTTAGACCTTGTGTAAACTACAATTCTCAGCCCAATTCCTTCGAATAAGTATATGATTCTGAGTGTGATCTCTCTAGCTACAATGCAATAGAAATATAAACCACTCTCTTCCTTTTATACTAGTAAAACGAATCTTACCTATCTGAATCCAGATAAGCAATGCATTACACTATCTGTATAATATCCAAAAAACAAATAGAACCTAGATTAGTTTATGATTATCCTGACTCAACAGCCAACCTTGCTGCAAAGCACCATTGATCCATGCTGTGAAAACAATGACCTTAAGCGTACAGTATTATGATAAATTAAGCGCCTCATTTTCCCATGTCAAATTAACAAATAATGATATGGAGTTTCAATTTTTTATCAACCATAACCTTTTCCAACAAACATTAGGTACAGATGAAGGCAGCATTTCGTGTACTTAATTAACAATTGAAACAGTTTACATGACATTATTCTTCACGATAGTATATGTTGGAAATTTATTTAATTAATATGATTAAAATAAATTATGAGTAAATAAGAAATTAATTTTAAGGAATCTTTAGTTTTTCTACTCAAAGAAGTCTTGGTTATTCAAAATTTAATTTTTGAATTACAGTGGTTAATCAAATGTTGATAACGAGAAAAATTGATTCTTATTAGTTCTTCCACTTTTTAACTTTTAAACTTCACTAAAAAAAAGAGAGGTGACAAATAGTTTTAAACTTGAGTTTTTAAAATTTTTATATACTCTTTCTCACCTTATATTATAGTGTTTTCTTATTATTTTAAGCTTTGATTTTTCTTTCAAATTTAAAGTTTATGTTCATCTTATTAAAAAAATATTTGAGTTTCATATTCTTTAATTTACACACCTTGTTTAGAAGTGCATCTAAACAAAGATGGTGATATTAAAATCTTATTAGGCGTATTGCAAACATATTAGTTCCATAAATGAGGAATAATAAAGTTTTAACAATAAATCATTTGTCATTGACCACTTTAAATTTGGTAAAATTCTTGACCGAGAAAGAGCCAAAAACATCAAAAAATAAATTTGACCTATTACTGTGATTATTACTGTGATGGTTGTGGATGCATAACATCATACTAATTTCAAGTAAAAGAACTACATCTTGAATAAGTTAGATAATAAACTTTAGAATATGTATAGTTTAATAAAAAAATACAAAAGCATAATAGTAAGCTTTAGACAAAAAAATGCAAACATGAAGTTATTGGTATGAAGAAATTTAAAGAGCCAAGTTCAAGAGTTTCAACTAATATTACATGATATACATGTTAAATGTATGTCTCTAAGTGAGTCTTTCCAAGTGTTTATAGTCATTGGAAAATTATCATTTTAGAAAGACTTCAAAAACTATTTTAAACATAAGTGAGTAAAGATATAAGGAATTAAAGACCTCATTTTAAGGTTGAAGATAATAAGTAATTCGAAAAGAAAGCCAATTCTTTTGGTGTCTAAAAAATAAGTGTTATAGAATTAGTGGTGAAGTACCACGATAAAATCAAAAGAATTGTTTAGAAGTTCAATAGCAAATGTTTTATTTGTAACAAGACTGGGTATCTAGCTAAAGATTGCAAAAAGTCAACAAGAAAACTCTAAGAAAAGGATTGCTCAAGATAATGTCATTGAAGTTGATCATCTTACTAATGATATTTCAAAAATGAACTTGTCTTGTGTTATTTTTTAAGTCATTCTAATCAACAATTATGAGTTATTATGGGTTGACATTACTGCTGCAAGATATATATTTTCTGATAAAATAATGTTTTCCACTTACAAAGAAGGGATGGAAAAAACCTTTATCTTAAAAACTCATCAACTTCAAAGGTACTACGCGTAAGAAAGATCATATTAAAAATGAATTTTGGAAATCTTTCAACTCTTAATAATATACTGCATGTTACTTATATTAGGAAGAACTTAGTTTATGACTCATTGCTAAGTAAAACAGTTTTAAGATAGCTTTTGAAAATGATAAATTTATACTCTTCATAAATAGTATGTTTGTATAAAAAAATACCTTTGTGATAACCTCTTTAAAATGAATGTAATGGTCATTGTAACAAATGATAAGAATAATAATAAGATTGTCTCTTCTTCTTATTTGTTTGAAACTTATGATATGTGGCATGAAAAGTTAGGTCATATGAATTATAATTTTATACAAAGGTTAATAAACTATGAATTATTATCAAGTATTTTTTTTTAATAAAAAAACATAAGTGTGAATTTTTTATAAAATTAAAATTCACACAATCATCTTTTCAAATAATTAAAAGAAGTAGTGAACCTTTACACTTAATTCACTTAAATATTGGTGATTTAAAATTCACGCAAACTAGAGATTGAAAAAGGTATTATATTACTTTTATAGATGATTGCACAAGATATTATTATATTTATTTGCAAAAGAGAAATGATGACGAAACTCTTGAAATGTTTAAACATTATAAGAATAAAGTTGAAAATCAACTTAATAAAAAGATAAAGGTAATAACGAGTGATAAAGGTGGAAAATATGAGGCATCATTTAGTAAATTCTATTCTTGAAATAATGTTATCTACCAAATTACTGTTATTTATTAACCCTAACAAAATAGTGTTGTGAAATGTAAGAACTGGACATTAAAAGAAATAATGAATGATATGTTAATAAGTTTAGAAGCACCTCGAAACTTATAATGGGAGGTAATTTAAACTGCCAATTATATACTTAATAAAGCAGCCTATAAAAAAAATAAAAAAGACATTATATGAATTATAAAAAGACAAAAAACTTTCCTACAAATACCTCAAAGTGTGAGGTATCTTACATAGGTAGCAATACATGATCCTAAAAATGTTAAGATATGACCTAAAACTGGATTGTGTATTTATCGAATATGAATACAATAATGGTGTATATTGATTTCTAGTACATAAGTCAAGTGTTAAAAATATTCATCCTAATACTATTATGAAATCAAAAAAATATTATGTTCTTTGAAGATGTGTTTCTATAAAAGGAAGCACATGAAAATTATTCACTTAAAAAAATAATTCAGCCTAACTCAAGTGATCATCATCAATTAAAAAATGATGAATTTAAGCTTAGAATAAGTAAAATACCAAATAAGACTAGATAATGAATCTTGAATCTACTCTAAGGCAATGTCTCTTCTGAAAGCTTTCTATTTAAAAGAGATAATCAATAACAAAATTAAACCCATTATGAATAATCATACATGGAATCTGGTGAATCTTTCTCCTTAAAGTAAATTATTAGGTTATAAGTGAATTTTCAAAAGGAAGATAAAAATTGATGGCATTATTGATAAATTTAAAGCTAGACTTGTTGTTAAAGGTTTTAAATAACAAAAAGATATGAAATATTTTGATATATTCACATGTGTCAATAATAACTTTTATAAACACATTAATAGTCATTCTAGCTATCAACAAACTTGAAATACATAAAATAGATGTAAAAATATTTTTCTTAAATGGTGACATTAATGAAAAAATTTATATGAAACAACTTGAAAGGTTTATTGTCAAATGACAAGAAAAGAAATTTTATAAACTTGTCAAATTATTATATAATTTGAAAAAAGTATCAAAATATTATGATAATCAACTACTTGTGTCCATTGTGATAGTCAGTTGGCAATTGAAATAACACAAAGTAGCATGTATAATGGTAAGTCTAGACATACACATTATATACATAATATCGTTAAATATTTGCTTTAGAATAAAATTAATTTCATTGACTATATAAAGTCAAAGAAAAATACTGTGGATTTACTAATCAAAAGTTTATCTAAAGAGCTTGTGTATAATTTATCGAAGAGAATGGGTTTAAAGTGTTTAAAAGATGAAAAAGTGTAATGATAGTAATCATATCTAATTGATTAGAGATCCTAATATTTAGATTCAAATGAAAAAATAAGTCATATAGCATTAGAAAATTATTAATTCTTAATTATTCCTATGATGAAATAAATGTTAGTTACAGTGTGATAAATGGTAAGTTGAACTCTTAATGATTTTCATATCTTGGTGGTATACCTAGTGAAGTATAGCAAAATAATCTTAGTGAAAAATCATTTATAGAAGTGAGAAATATGGTTGTTTCTTTGAAAATTTTAATAAAGTATGAATTTGTTAAAGCATTCATGAATCTAAGAGTAGTGGGCCACAATAAATTATTTTCTTAATTTATGCAAAAGACTTATAGTTCAAGAAATCACGTTCACTATTTAATCGAGTAAATTTGATAGTATTTCACTAAGAAAGATTTTAATCCAAAAGCAACCCATCTTTATATAGTAATATACCAAAGCAACATCTCTTAACAAATCTTCAAGTTATTTTCAAACTAGTAAGATAATTGTCATTCATTTAGGGGATTGTTAGAAATTTATTTAATTAATAAAATCTAAATAAATTATGGGTAAATGAGAAATTAATCTCAAAGAACTTTTAATTTTTTCTATTAAAAAATCCTTTATTTTTTATAAATTTAATTTTTAATTTATGATGATTAATTAAATATTAATTGTGGGAATCCCTATAAGTGTTAGTCTAGCAGTTAAGATACTGATATCCCTATAAGGATGAGAACACAAGTTCGATCCCCAGGAAACACATCTACTAGGAGGGGTAACCACAAACCCCGAATAGAATTAGTCTCATCCTTTAAAAAGATGTGAGGATACCCGGGTAAGAACAAAAAAAAAATTATAGGAATATAATAACTTTTAAACTACAAAACAAATAATTAGTCGTGATTCAACCAAAAACAGTCATCATATTGTTATATTCCAAGTTGATCACAGTTTTTCATCTAAATCTTCAGGTACCATGCACGGAAAATGGCTAAGAGAAGAAAAGAGAAAAGTCAAGAACATGGTAATGTCGAGTGGCGACCTATTCTATTTTAGAAGTTCAACTAGTTAAGTGACTCACCCTACGTCGCAGTCTCACCTTTAACTTCCAAAAAGAATTGGGAACAGAATCCAATCCTATTTGGATCCTATTGCGGACAGGATCCAAAATTATTTTAGATCCTGTCCAACCTGGCCC